GGTCGCAAACATCGGCGTCCGAATGAGTCGGCGCTACAACGAGCCATGAGCGCTGACGGCGGCGACGCGATGCAAAAGGGTTACCGCGCGGTGCCGCAGCTTGGCGATCGCACGCCACTTGTGCTGGTGCCTGCGGTGATGGGTGCCCGATGCGAGGCGCAGCGACGGCCGCTTGAACAATTGGCGGCTGGACGTTCTGTCGGCGTAGCTCGCAAGCGAAATGCGTCGCTGGCTACAATTCGAGAGGTGTCGGAATCCACGCAACATTGCATAGGATGCCTACTGGGCCATGACGGTCGCGTGGTTCTCCTTGGCTTTTTCAAATTCGGAAAAGAGGACGGCCATGTTGAGCTGCAGCAGAAAGCACCCCGCGACGAAGAAAATGGCGTTGAAATAGACAAACCCGGCCACGGCCCCGCCCGCGTCTTGGGTCTACACACATCCCGTCGCTTGAAAGGTCATGATGATACGACTCGTCTCGTACGGTCTCGGTGAGCACCATCCAGCCGGACGCCGTCACAATCATGATGATCATGACAAAGACGCTGTACACATTGTCAAAGCTCGTAAAGCCAAAGTTGAGGTTGGGGCTGAATTCGGCCTGGCGCATGATCGAGAACGGCGAGTAGTCGGACGGCATCGGAAGGAGCAGGTCTCGGAAGCGTGGGGCGCCAAACGGATCGTAGTTGGAGCCGCACGTTCGATTAGCGTCGCACTGCCGTCCCCACTACAACGCAAACGCCCATCACTATAGATATATCAACACTGCAATTGACGTACCGAAGGCGACGAGCTGCACAGCCACGGCGTGCCATGATCCTCGTCCGGATCCGTGGGCCAAAAACAGCTCATGGGCGACGGCCACGACTCGTTGTTCTCGATTGAGAGGCAGCGAAAGGCGTCCGGCGTCGCGACCTAGCGCCAGCATAAGCTTTCCACGCGGCTCTCTACGGTCGGAGCAGCGTACGACGCTGGCGAGGTAGCTGCTCGTTGGAGCCATGGCCGAGACGTTCCACACGGAGGCGTTGAGCTGGACAGGAAACGGCGTGAGGCGACATCGATAATGCCATGAGCTGCGCCAGAGCTCCATGCCGAGGATGGCAAAGAAGAGATAGCAGAACGCGAGGATGATGGCCACGTTTCCGAGTGCCGGTAGACTCGAGAGAAGCGACCCCGTAAGCACTTTGAGCCCTACGCATCATGTGGTTGGGCATGGGTACTTCATGTGACGGGCTCTGGCTTGTACCCGGCACCGAGTGGAGTGCGCGGAGCGGCCGAAGTATTCGCAGCACGCGGAGGATCCCGAGCTTTGCAGACGAGTAGACGAGCGAAAACGTGCTATGGACAGATTGGGTGTTGTGCAAAACACCACATTGTGGCAGAATTACCCCGAGACGATGATGACAAAGTCCAGTCGGTTCCAGCCGTCGCTCAAGTACGTGCCTTTGCCCATGAGGAGGCCGTACGCGATGATCTTGAGGCTCGCTTCGACGAGGAAGACGTAGAGCGAGATCGCGTTGACGTGGTCGATGAGCATGTTGCGGCGGTTCGTTGGGTCGGGCACGCCGTCGATCGCGTTGGTATAGTCGACAAGCCCGAGGAGGAGCGTGTTGGCGAGAACACACACCATGATGAAGCGCTCAAACCACTTGGACGTGACGAGCGCGAGGCAGAGTTGCCGCACCGGGTTCTGCAGAGTGAGGCAGCCGAGCGCGATCGGTGCCGGCTACCGAAACCAGTTCTTAGAGTCGTCGCATCGACGTCGCTGCACGTACCTTGATTTTTCGGATCGCGCGCGACGAGGCCTGGCGCACCCACTTTCGGAGCGAGAGCGCGGGCGACCTGCGCTGGATGACGACGAGGTTGTCGCGCATGGGCGTCGCGAGCACCGGTCCCGGCGCGACCGAGCTCATCGGCGGTGTATATATATAAAATTACGTTCGGTTTCCACGCTATAAATGCATTGGCAACAGCCGTGCTCATGAGATGCGACGGTACGCACCAGTAAATGTAGAAAGCCCGCACAGCAACTCGTGCATACAGTGATCCAGGGGTTCTTACCCCTGCAGTGATCCTCCACACGTCGTCGTCGTCTGGTGTCGTCTGGTGCCAACATCGTTCTCACGACAGGAGCGAGTCGGCGGCTTCTTACTCTCTGCACACTCGCGCCAGCGTTGGTCCCAAGCGACTCGTTGGTGCTGCTGCGTCGGGTGTCGGAATCCACGAGCCAATACCTTCTTGCTAGCCAAGCAAGCTGTAGCACATCTAATGCAGTCGGTATGATTGTGTCTCTCTTCGCTTCTTGGTGTCGCAGGGGTCGGTCGTGTATGTCTGCAACCGACCCGGCAATAATGTTCTCGTCCATCTGACGTGGCAGCATCGCCAAGAGCCGAGGCTCCGTCCTTTCTCGTCGGTATGGGCTTGTGCTCTGCAGCACCAACAGTTGACTTAACGGTCGTGCGGTCCCACAGAGAGCGCGCACAGCTCCCCGTTGTCGTCTTCTCTTTCCAGCGTGCGTTGTGTGCTGCGGTGCTGGCCTCACTTATGACCAAGTCCCGCCCTCAACACGTTCGCGCCAACAGTTGATCAAGGAATGGGTGTATGTACAAGCCTTAGCTGCTTATCGCCGGCGGCTCGACGGAGGCGGCGCGCCGCGCGAGCTCGCCGTCGTCGTCGCGCGCGGCTTCTTGACGCGGCGCTTGTAGACCGCGATGGTGTCGTCGACCTTGATGCCCCACTGGAGGTGTTCGGCGCGCACGGCTGCGTCGAGAAACTCGTTGAGCTTGTCGGCGCGCTCGCCAATCGTCTTTTGGGAGAGGTTGCCGAGGATGTGGCGCTTCGGCAGCTGCGGGATCTCCGTCTTCTTGAAGCCGGCCTCCTTCTGGAGCCGGTCGCAGAGCGCGCGGAACGTCGAGTAGCGCTTCCAGCAGTAGACCGTGCCAAAGTTGGTCGTCTGGATCTCGAGCTTGTACTGCACGTACTTTTGGCCGCCGCGGGTCACAATGCGCGAGTCGACGATGCGCGCCGACGCCAAGCCAATCTCCTCGGGCATGACCAGACCTTCTTCAATAATCACGCTGCTCGCACGCTCCTTGTGCCGGGCCACGTCTGCGATCTGCACATAGGCTTGCGGCGCATACGAGTTGGGCTCGTCGCTGTGGCCGCCGTGGAGGTTCGCGACGGCGTAGCAGCCGAGGTGCGGGTCCATGCCGACGACCTCGCCGACGCCAAACGGAGTGTCGACCAGCGTGCGCGGCGACAAGATGCGCTCGCCGTCCAGGATCACGTGGTTTGGGTCGACCTCCATGACCTCCGTGTCGTTGCCAAACTGGTCGATCGCCACCGAGTACGTCTCGGCTTCGCGGTCGTAGAAGAGGACGCGGCCGCGGCCTTGGCCCGTCACGATGACAGGCACGTCCTTGGAGAGCGACTGCTCGTACTTGGCCTGCTTTTCCGCGTCGCGGATCGCGCGGGCCTCGCGGGCCGCCTTCTCGGCGAGCATGGCCGCGTGCGCACGTTCGCGCTCCTCAGCCTCGCGCTGTTCGAGGGCGCGGCGCTCGGCCTCGCGCGCGAGCTCGGCGGCCATTTCGTCGGCTTCGTCCTGCGCGCGAGCTTCCGCCTCGTAGCGTTCGAGGGCAGCCTTCTCTTCGGCTTCTTGCGCCGCGATGGCCGCGGCGACTTCGGCTTCGTACTTTTCACGAGCGGCCGCTTCTTCCGCCGCCAAGAGCGCAGCGGCCGCAGCAGCCGCCGCCGCCTGGTCGGCCGCGAGCTTGTCGGCGGCTTCCTTCTCAGCGAGGAGACGCGCGGCTTCGGCGCGCGCAGCTTCGTCCGCAGCCAAGGCCGCGGCAGCAATCATGGCTTCGCGTTCGCGACGTCTACATCCGCATGCATTGTAAACACGAGTCGCATATCATGGCGGTATCGTACTCTGCATCTTGCCGGGCAAGCTCTTCGAGGCGGAGACGCTCTTCTTCTTCTTCTGCGGCCGTCTGCTGGCGCTTGAGGCGACGCGTCTCTTCGACACGCGCGTCAAACGCAGCCGTCTCTTCGGCGTGGAAGCGGCGCTCCTCCTCGCTCATCTCGGCGAGACGAAGCGCTTCCTTCTTCTCCGCGTCGCGCTTGGCGAGTTCGACCGTGTAGTTGATGCCATACTGCACAAGGCTCAGCACATGCATCGATGCACGCGACGTACCTTCTTGATGAGCGAGCGGACGGCGAACGCGCGGCCCACTGACTGCACCTTCACGGCGTTTTCGTGGACGATTTGCATCGTCTTGGGGCGGTGGAGGTACCAGTACTTGACGACGCCCTTGTTGGAGAGGATCGTCTCGAGGTCCAACGGCGTGAGGCGGCTCTCGTTCGACTGGATCGACTCGTGCACGCGCGCATCGCGGTGCAGCGCCTCGTGGTCCGTCAAGACCGACTGGCGGCCGGACTCCTGCGCCTTCTTGGGCGCCTTCGAGTAGGACGAGTACATGCTGGTGCTCTTCGATCGACCACAGGCAAGAGGTTGGGCTGGTAGTTCTTTAGCGGCGCGGCTCGGTGGACGGCGACGATGGACGACGGTGGCGAGGTACCGAGCGTAGTGGCTATTGCCCTTTGACGCAGTCAGCAAATGCCATCCGCGGGCCGCTTTCATCCGGATACGCCTTCAACCTTTTTTCAATACGAGGCCGATCACTTGCGCTTTGTATGCGGAATAAGACATGCCAAAAAAAGTGCGCTGCCTGGGGAGAGAAGCGGCCTCTACGTGGCGCTATCCGGATGACGCCTTACAAACATCAAATGTGGGCGACGTTGGTAACCCCGTAGTTACGCAGCCCCACAGACGGGATACTGCCTCCGCTTGATTAGGCCTCGACTGTAATGGCTCGCACTTCTATCGACGCGCGTGTGCAATACATAGGTGGTGTCGACTGGCTACTTACCGCTTGTGGGTTGTTGGTCTTGTTAGATATGGCAAGTGCCACGTTGTACGTCATTTACCATAAATACACGATTTGCGTGATGAACGTGCACCGTGACAGTCGCAAATGGTGTGGTAATACAGAGCGAAATAGTGTGATGCACGCAAGCGCATCGTATCCAATCTTTGCTGCGATGGCCGATGCTGCACCCGTGTACGGCGAGCCGTACTGCGTCACGGACGATAAGGTCGCGGCCGTCGCCTCCGGCCGCCTCGTCGTCATGGGCATGGACGCCAACGAGAAGCTCGTCGGCGCCGGCATGGTCCATCTGCGCGTCTTCCAAGGCCATGTGCACTCGTCCGGCTTCGCGTTTCCGCCCGGCGTCTACTACGACCTGTACTCGCCACGCTGGTCCAACTTGAGCACGCTCGTGGCGTCGGACGCGCCGTCGCTCTACCATGCGCCGTGCACATCGCTGACCAAAGCCCGCTGGCTGCTCACACACGCGGCCGATCCGCTCAACGACGAGGACGAGGCGCAGGCCGACGCGCTCGCCAAGGACATGGCCGCGTGGTTTCCCGTCGTGCTCGTGCTCCGCGCCATGCGCCTCACCTACGGCAACCTGGCGTCGTACTTTGACGGACAGACAACGCATGTGCGCCTGCCCGGCTTCAAGTTCATTCGGTACCCCGACGTGCTCGTGACCGAAAAGGTGTCCAAGAAGCGCGCCAAGACCGAGACACCGACCATCACGGACGGCGCCGCGCTCTTCGCGTCCATTAGCTCCCTCGAGCCGAACGCGGTGCGCGAGCTCTTCTTCCCGCCTTCGTGGCACACGGCGGCGCGTCGAGTGTGCGAGAGCTTCCGCGCCAACGTGGACGCGCGCAAGGTGCTCGTCTGCGGCGCCAAGGGCGTCGGCAAGTCGACGTGCACGCAGTTTCTCGTGAACCAGCTCCTCTCGAGCCATCGGGTGGTGGCCTACATCGACTCGGACGTGGGCCAGCCCGAGCTCTGCGCACCTGGTGTCCTCTCGCTGCATTACATCACCGAGCCGCTCTTGGGCCCGAGCTACACCCATCTGCAGCCAGCGTACAGGTAGATATCGAAGCATGCGAAGGCGTCTCCAACGTGTGCTGCTAGGTCCTTGTACTTTGGCTATTCGAGCCCGAAAGCCGACCCACAGCTGTACATTGCGGCCGTCGCATCGCTTCTGCAGGCGTACGAAGCGAGAGACACGACGATCCCGCTCGTCATCAACACGGACGGCTGGATCAAGAGCATGGGCTACGACCTCCTGCACTCGATCTTGGACTGTGCGACGCCGCAGCACGTCCTGCAGGTCGTGGCCATGACCAAAGCCAAGAGTTTTGATGTGCCTCCGTCCCCCAAGGTAGCAGCAGTTAAGACACCCAAGATGTGCATCATCCAACTCCTTCTCTTGTAGTGGACGCTGCATCCGGTCGAGATGTGGGACGCGGCACCGCCGCAGCCAGCACGCAGCTCCAAGGACCTGCGGCAGTACCGATGGCACGCGTACTTTCTGCGCGACGTGATCGTTGAGGAGCCCGAGACGCTCCAGCTCGCGACGTGCCACGCCATGTCCGAGCAGACCCGGTACGCACGTGGATGCGATGGACATGCTGGCTGATGCGATGTCGACAGCCTCGGCCGTGCTATCTCGATGATGTACACGCGCCAACTGCCGTACCGAGTGCCTTTCCACGCCGTCGCCGTCCGCGTCACTGGCTCGTCGGTGCGTCATTGCCGGTGACATCCTCCGCATCGCATTGTCTGTTTCGTAGGCGCCACCCAGTCAGATCCTCTATGCACTGAACGCAAGTGTGATCGGCCTATGCGTTGCGCCGCCGACGCTCCTCGCCAAGACCAACGAGAGGTGCAAGCCCGATGTGCCCACCGTTCTTCTCGACTATGACCTCCTCCCGTGTGTTGGGCATGGTACGCCGCGTTGTCTTTCTGGCTCGTTGCGAGCTACGCGATGTAGGTATCATTCGGAGCATCGACGTGGCCGCTGGCGAGTTTCACATCTTGACGCCTGTTTCCACGGAGCTTCTCGCACACGTAAACGTCCTCGTCCGCGGCCATCTCTCGCTCTCGTTCCAGCTCCTCGACCAGAGCGCCGTCCTCGGCGGCCACTGCCCGTATGCGATTGTCGATGTCCTGGCAGCCGAAGGCACGGGCGCGTCGCTCATGGAGAGCCGCAACAACCTCAAGCGCAAAAAAGAAGGCTAAGAAACCACAGCCATAGAGATAGTCGAAATACATGACAGTGAACTCGAGAATGTTGGATAGACGACGACGTTGCCTGTCTAAATTTAGTCGTTTCAATCGATGCCCGCGTGGACGACGGGCGCGTCGCGCTGGAGAACGTCCTGAGCGGCGACGAGCGGTCGCTCTTAGAGCTTGAATTTGACGCATTCGACAGCCGCAAGCGAAATACCTTGGACAAGCTCCAGGCCACCAAGCTGCTCGCGAAGCACATGCCGTCGCTGTCGCCGGACGAGCTCAGCGCGGTCTTTGCCCTGCAGGAGGGCCACGGCACGTTCCAGCTCTCTCGCCTCGAGTACCTTCAAGTACGCGTTCTCAGCAGCCACGATTTTGTTGTACGGACACTTGGGTTAGATTCAGGCGGCCAAGAAGCTGGCGTTGGAAGCCGCCGACGAAGAAGACCTCCAGCGGCACTTTACGGTCCTCGACTACCACGGCAACGGGTCGCTCGTCGCCGACGAGATTCTCGACGCGCTCGAAAAGACGGGCGACGCCGGCGTCAGCATTCTCAAGGCGGCGGTGGCCGCGGCGGCCAAGAGCGTCTCGGATGGCAAGATCACGTTTGACATTTTCCGCAGCGCGATCCACGACATGAACCGGGCGACGCAAGCCTCGATCGCGGCCGACACGCTGCGACTGTACCAGCTCCAGGCCAAGCAAGTAGGACAAGTTGTCCTGTGGATGGCGCCCCGACATCGCGTAGGAAGCGCTGTTGCAGCAGCGGCAGCGCGCCAAGCCCGACGTCCAGACGTCGCTGCATGTCGAGTGCAGCGTTTTGGAGGCGCACATTGAGCGGCAAAAGAGAGGCCTCATTACGGTGCAGAACGACAACTTTTCCAAAATTTACGCCGCGATCCTCGCCCAGTACGTGTGCGAAACCACCGTCTTGCGCAGTTTTGAAGCTTTTTTCAACCACTTGCACACGGAAGGTACCGTCGTCCACGTCGAGTATGGACAACTTGTCCTTTTTTTGTAGACAGTCTCTTGTTTCGGCGCGGTCTCGAGCGCAGCGGTCGCATGGTCGACGTGCACCCGAGCTTCCTCCTGTACCCGGGCCCTGCCATCGATGTTCGCACTCAAGGCATTATTATTGCTTTATTATTGCTTGGGTGTAGCGGTCGCCCGAGTACGCGGCGCTGTGCCACTTTATGGTCCCCGACCTTGTCTACGTCTTAAAGTCCAATCGTTCGTGTCGACAACCCTTGTGTAGCACGGCGACGGGCCGATCTTTACCAACCGGGCATACCGCAAGGTCTTCTTGGCCTACTGCCTCCTCGGGAGCCTCACCAACTTTCAAACAATATCGCGCGGCAACTTTGTACGCTTCGTCAAGGACTGCCAGCTCCCAACGATTGCAAACTCCAAGAACCTGCGCGACCCTGACATTGACGCGTGCTTTGTGCTCGCGACGCGCGCGTCGACGACGACCGCGTCATTGGCCATGTCGCCGCGCACCAATTATGGTCCCCGGGGTATCCATCTGCACTTTCAGCCGACGCCAGCGTGCTTTACACCGCTCCTGGTCGACGAAACCTTTCCGCTTGCGACGCCACCGACGCACCGAAGCGGCGGCATGAGCTTTGCGCAGTGGGTGCACGGCACGACGCTCGTGCTCCAAAAGAGCCTCGGCTTTTCTGTACCGCGTCCAATTCGTCGGCATCTCGTTTGATCGTGGCCTGTAGGAGCTGCCACAGGGCGACGCCCACGAAGCGCTTTTCCGAGATCACATTTTGCCCCATGCACGCCAGATCGAGTTTCAGCCGATGGGCCCCGAGATCTCGCAGCCTCAAGTCATGCGCTTTATTCGAGCCCACGTGTGGCCTCTCAAGCAGTTGTTTGCTCACTTTGGCGGCCACTCGCTCAGCCACGTACACGATTGCCACACGTGTTTGAGTGATGCGACATTCATGATAGATTGAAACAGGAACCCAACTCTCATTGGCCAATTTTTTGCAATTCGCGCGCTGTTTCGGTACGTGCCCTTTTTATGCACTCGATCCTTTGATACTTGAAGGTAGACATCTTGCGCTCGACGAAAGACAACCATCCCAAGGCCGGTCCGTCCCAGTTCCGTCAGCTCTCCCTTCAAGTACGACTACGCTCTCTCCATTGAACTATACCTCGGGGTGTAGGAAGTTGTCCAAGAGTACAACGCCGCCAAGCTCGACGTGGGCTTTTCGCACACGGAGAGTCGCGAGTCTCTGGACCTCAATTTTCACGAGTTTCTGCGCTGCATGCAGCGGCTCGCGATGGCCATGGGGAGCATGACGCAGCCGTCCGAGCTGTTCCATGGCCAGTCGCTCGTCTCTTCGTTCCAGAACCAGCGCGCCGACCTGAACTCGACGCCGCGGGTGCATCTCTTCCAGCACTCGCGCCAGCTCCACGTGCAGGACCGGCACTTTTCTAAAGCCATCGAGCTGCTGCAGCTGCGGGCCACGACGCCGCGCTTAATGCACATCGTCCACCGCCTTCGTCACCTACCGCGGCTACCGCTGGACGAGCTCCCGCCGCCTCGGCTCAGTCCACGCAAGCCTGCGCCCGAAGCGACGATCCAAAAATGCATCACGCCTCGGAGAACCCACCTCCCGCTGGTGGCTCAATCGTCGCCGCGCTACTCTGCGAACCGGTCACTCTCGCTCGGAGGATCTCCTCGCCCACGAATCATCAAGGCGCCGCCGTCACCGATGGTTGGGCCTCTCGGTGAGCCCAACCCAGGCGAGTACGACGAGTACCGGATCCCGCTGCTCTCGTCGCAGGGCCGCGCACGCACGCCGTACCAGCCGGCGACCGTCGTCACGGCCCACCACGCAAAATGAAAAGAAGTCGAGTGTTTCATCACAACCGAGGACGATCGGTCGATCGCTCAGCAAGAGCTGGTTCGTTGGGTCGCTACATATTTGCAGGTGGAGCTTGCAGGTGGATAATGGATGGCTGGGTAGGTGTTGGAGGCCTCTTCACAGCCTCTTCTGCACAAATGCCAGTACACGGTAGCTCTTTTCTGTACTCTCAGCAGCGCCAAGGCGTCACACTTGCATCATTGCACCGGCGGTCGTCGCCTCTGCCATCGACACTTCAATGGGGAAGAAAAATGATTGATTGTAGCGGGCTTGAAGCCATGACTTTGGCGCTTCTTGAGCACTTGAAGTTTAAACGCATCGTGTCGGAAAGATCACCCCATCATGGGCCAACCGACCAGATATCATCCATCACTGCTGCGTCGGTTCAGATATTGCGACTGGCGTCCGGCTCGCACCCACCATGTTCTTCAACCGAGGGAATACCCGGTCAATACGAACCTCGGTAACTGCAAGGGCTCCACATCCCGCAGTGGATCACTCGACAATTGAAGAGCGATGGCCCGCGCTGCGCTGCCGCCGCTGCAGATCCCGTCGCCGCACAGCGAGCCGCATCGGCCGGTCGAAGAGGCCGTGACCTTTGCGACGCCAGGCTATGCCATGGCCTACGCGACCTTCTTTGTCTTTGGCGGCACCTGCGTCGCGTCGTGGCAGTGCATCATCCTCAGCATCGACACCTTCATCGCCATGTACCCGGATGGCATGGTCGGCTTCGTGTTTCCCGTCGTCAACATGTCGGCGCTGCTGGTCATCACGCTCTTCATGCTCATCGCGGGCCGCCAGCTCCCGCTCGACCAGCGCATGCGTCGGGCTTTACCTGCATGCTCCTCTCGTGCGCCGGCCTCCCGCTGCTGCAGTGGACGTCGCTGAGCACGCTTCTGCGGTACGCGGCGACGCTTCTGCTCTTGATCCTCGCGTCCATGGCGAGCGCGCTCATTCAATCGTCGAGCTACGGCCTCGCGGCTGTCTTTGGCCCGGCGTTCCTCCAAGCCATTGACGCCGGCAAGGGCACGGGCGCGATGGTCCTCGTCCTCGCGCGCATTGCAACCAAGTGGGGCCTCGACGCCGACACGACGGACCTCACGGCGCTCTCGCTCTTCTTTGGCCTCGCGGTCGCCGCGATCGTTGCCGCGTTTGTCTTGTGCGTCTCGTGATTTGACGTCGACCACCTCCTCATGGGACCTACTAGGTATGCCATGCTCGACCAAAACGTCTACGCCAAGACCAAGCTCGAGACGTACGTGCGTATCCAGTTCAACACGCCGCTGGCCCTGCCGCTGCCGTCGCCTGTCCGGTCGCCGATCAAGTCGCCGGTACCGAATACTACTTGTGGTGAATCTCCTTATGGTGTCTTCTAGTCGTTCTTTCCACCGGCCACCGAGTCGACACCGATGCTCAAGGACGTCGCTGTCGTGGATGTCGACGACGAACCGAATTCGCCGTCGGACGAGCCGTCGATCCTCTCGGTGGTTCGCCGCGCGTGGCGGCCCGTGGGCATGGCGTTCGCGACCTTTTGCGTCTGCCTCGCCTGCTTCCCGGGGCTCACGAGCTCGGTGGCGTCGACGTCATCGTGGTTTCCGGTGCTCATGGTTGGCGCCTACACGGTCGGCGATCTGATCGGGAAGATGCTGCCGCTGCACTGCATGCTGCTTTCTGTCGAGACGGTGCACTACCCGCTTCTGCTGCAGCTCAGCTTTGTGCCGCTCTTCATGTACGACGTGCTGCACCCGTACTTGCTCCCGGACGTGGCCACGTACGGCTTGGTCGCGCTCCTTGGGCTCGTCACCGGCTTTGTCGGCACGTCGTCCATGATGCTAGCGCCGACCACGTGCCGCGACGTCGAGCAAGAGCTGGCAGGCATCACGGGCTCGCTTGCGATCATCACGGGGCTTTTTACCGGGTCGTATGTCGGCCTCTTCCTCAACTTTATCGTGCAGCTGATGCAATAGATGAACGTTGTCATTGTGCACTGTATTGTCATATATTCTTTTGTCACAAGACGCGCGTCGACGTGTTGTTTGGCGGCTGCGAAAGCGTCGGCTGTGAGTTAAAGCCGTCGGTGGTCTGGAAATGCTGCAGGACAATCGTAGAAACTTGAGGACACTTTCATTAGGTGGTTGGACCGGGTGTCCGTAGGTGGGTGGACCGCCGATTTGGAGCTATGACAGTCAAAATCAGAGGTTTTCGTGGTCCTTGCCCGTGGTGGATCAATTTCGTAATGCCCTCACGCAACCGCAAGCAACCTTCGCACTCTGTCTCTTGCAGCACCACAGACCTCGCGGAGAAGCATGAAGCATGCCTCCGCTTACGACCAAGCTCGCGAGTATGTGAAGACCTTTGTCGCGACACGTCGAATGGGACAAGCGGGAACCAACTATCTATCCATCGAGCTATCCACCGATCCATTGTGCTCGACCCATGATCTATACAACGTTTCTGTCAAGAGCGTCGTATCGTTCGAGAGTCCATTGTGCTCGACCCACGATCGATACAATGTTTCTGTTAGGAGCACCGAGTTATAAAGGGGCCACCGATGCACTTTGCGTCCCTGCCATGAGCGCTGCGTCGCGTCGGTCGACGCTATAAGCTACGTCGCCGCAAAGCCCCTCCATGGACACGAAGGGATTTTATTTTTTCTTGATGGACATGTAGGTCGGTAGGTCGCTTCGATGGCCAATTAGTCCAATAAGATTGGAAGGAGCCAATCAGCGAGGTGCTGGACACAAGCACCCACCAATCAAAACGCCGCATACGAGATCTTAGCCAAACGTGAGCGAGCTGCTCGAGGTCAACGATTGCGACGATGCCGTAGTGGCGAGCGATGGATCACGGGCTTTGTTGGACCCGTGACGCAGGTAGCTCGCGCGAACCGTCTCACTAGATATCGGGCACGAAAGAACTGGCCCTACTGCAACAGTTGAAGTCGCGTACTGTCGGGCATAGCGTCTCGTACGGTGGACATATGATGGTGAGGTAGGACAATGCAGCGATGACACACAAGGACTTGCTGCGTCGGTCCAGCGTCCTGCAGATGTGCCGTCGTTGCGAGCTCAGACCTATGCTGGGCAGGCGAAAACCTCTAGAACATGGTCTTTACAGCGGCTTCGACAAGCGAGCCTCTCAGATTCGATCCATTCTTGACATGCTGCTCACTTGAAGATTTGCCTCGAGACACACACATGGGCCGACCCGAGTGCACGCAATCGTGCGTCGTCTTGCCACGCAGCGTCGGTGGCCTCATCGTCGGGAAGGGCGGCTGGCGGCTTCGGGAGATCGAGACGACCTTCAACTTGCAGGTCTGCTACGTGGCCAAGCAAGGCGGAGCCCAGTACCTCGTCTGTGAAGGACGCGCGATCGACGTCCAAGCCGCGCAAGCGAGCATCAAGCATACGATCGCGCAAGCGCTGTCGACGACGGGATCCCAGCGAACGTATCTCTACGTGTACCGGTACGACGGGCCGTCGCTGCCCGGCGCGGTCCAGCTGCACTACATCAACACGTCCATGTTGCAGTCGACTTGCAAGACGCCGTCCGCTCGCTGCTTCACAGCATCCATGGTCACACGCAGCGAACGAATGACCACGCACGGCCCATGCGACGCGCCCGCCTCGCCGGTGTCAAGTCGGTTGCCTTTGCCAACGAGCTGCGCGCGACCCAGCCGTATGTGCACGCGGTTTTTGCCCGCCTCCCGAAGATGACTACCGACTTGCGCATCGGCGCGATCCTTGGCAAGAACTTCAAGGTTGCGTCGAGTTACCGCGGCGCCACCGTGTCGGCCGCCGAGTGGGCCTCGCTGCACGCCACGACGCAAGACTACTTCAACCGGTACATGCTGCATACGGAACGTGCGCATGCCGTACGCATGTGGGCAACAGAGCAAGGGTACGTGCACACGCAGGTGGCGCTTCACGCGCTGCAGTACCGTCGTTTCGCCGATGCGCCGTCGTACAAGACTCTCTTCAAGAAGCGTTGCGGTGCCCCAAAGTTGCCGTCCTCGTCGTTTCGTGTGCTCAAGCCCACCCGAGCTGTTGGCAAGCCGTCAGCTGGGCTCGCCAGCACCATCGGCGTCATTGCCAGTTCAAGCGCCAAAGTGGACTTCCAGCTGACGTTCCGTGCCAAGCCAGCGACAACTGCAACACCCAAGGCCAAGGCCCCGCCGGCAGCCAAGACAGCCGCCAAGTCATGCCAAGAGAGTCGACCCGAGAAGGTGCTTTTCCAGATCGTTGAGCGCTGGAGCAACGGCGACTATACGATCTCCATCGAGCAAAAGCCGTCAAGCACCATGGCGCCGTCGCCGTCCACGGACCTCTGGGCGGTGCACGTCGCACCCAGCAGCGCCGCCATCGCCGCCATGTGCTCGTCGCGCGACGCCTTCGCGGCCGGTGTCTACAGCCTCGAAGCAGTCGCCACGGCCATCGTCGACGTTGTCGGGTAGTCGTCCTCTGTTACACCTCTCGCGGTTGCACGTTTATGTCACACCTTCGAGGTTTCACGTTGATGTCGGTTAAACACGTTTTATTGTTGCCTGGAATACAACGCGGTGCGTTTTTACGCTCGACGATGCGCAATGATTTCGCACGTACCCATTGGTTTTAAACGGTTTAAAACGCTTGATGACGATGCGATGTATTCGACACGTGTTCAAACGTTTAAACACTGGATGACTCATTTCGCCATGGTCAGCGGGACGCCATTGAGTCGCCGGCTGTGGGCCGAGGCGTCGCCAACCCACTTTCGCTGCGTGTACCATCCCTTCTTACTGGGCGTCGCGACTGGCACGCTTCCGCTCCCGAGCTTCCAAGAGTTCCTCAAGCAAGACGCCTTCTACCTGCATGGGTTCCTCCAAGCGTTCGCCCTCGCCGTCGCCAAGGCCGATTCGCCAGCCGATGCGATCGCGCTCGTCAAGCTCATGCAAGGCGTCAACGAGGAGCTCGAGCTCCACACGTCCTTCATGGAGGTACGTGGCTCTCCATCCTTGCCGGGCAAGGAGGCCATTGATGTCGGTATAGTCCTGGGGCGTGCTGCCGCACGTCGTCGATGCCACCTCCGCGACCCCGGCCACGCGGGCCTACGTCGACTTCCTTCGCGCAACGGCCAAGGCGGCAACGTCCGTTGCTGAGATCCTCGCCGCGATGGTGCCCTGCGCCCGGCTCTACGCAGCGTTGGGCCAAGCCCTCGCCGGCGCCCGCCGCCACCTCACGCCCGTCGCCGCGCAGGACTTCAACACGTACGCCAAGTGGATCGAGACGTACGCGACAGCCGAGTTTGAGGTACTCCATGTCCTTCCGGACGAGACGAATACGCTCTCTATCGCAGGCCAGCGCCAGCGTCATGGAAGCCCTTCTCGACACGATCGCAGAGCGCGACGCGGTCGACGAGCGCCAGCTGAGCGCACTCTACGGCCGCGCGATGCAGCTCGAGCGCAACTTCTTCGACGCGTACTTTCCCATCGTGAACGCCAGCGTCATCCTCCGTGCGCCCCTCCCAACACGATCCCGCGGTCTCACTACTGTATCCTAGGGCCGACGGAGCTGCGGCAGTGCGACGCAACGACTCTCACACTCGCTTCGCCAGCGTCAACGTCCGAGCCATTGCAGTCGGCCTCGCTCTTGGCAGCGGTGCTGGCCCGCATGTTGGACGACACGTCGTTGCAGGTGGTCGATGTCGGCGCGGACGAGCAAGACGCGTGCAGCGAGCTGCTTCTCTGGTCGACGACAAGTGCGACGAGCAACGACCCTGCAAGCATCCACGCGCCGACGTTGCATGTGCCACGCGTGCTGTGCATTGCGGGCTCGGACAGCGGCGGCGGCGTACGTCTACTGTGCTGTACCTCGTCGCATGTCATCCGTGGACGTAGGCGGGCATTCAAGCCGACATGAAGGCGTGCACGGCCCTCGGCGTCTTCTCGACGAGCGCGATCACTGCGATCACAGTACGTCTCTGCTGCTACTAAGATGTGTACGAAGCGAGTGGAGCGCAGGTCCAAAACACGCATGGCGTCCTGGGTATCCACGCCGTGCCCACCGAGACGCTCGAGGCGCAAATCCGGTGCGTCCTGGAAGACATTGGCGCCGACGTCATCAAGGTATGTCCAGCGCGTCATCGCGTCGCCACACATCATATTGTCGTGTGGCCTGTAGACGGGTATGCTGGCCTCGGCGGCGATCGTGCAGTGTGTCGTTAAAGCAGTCCAGAAGTTTGATTCGATCCCGCTCATTGTCGACCCGGTCATGGTGTCGACAAGCGGCCACACGTAAGAAGAAGACGGAGCATGCGTCCAGTCTCACTGAAAAGGCTGCTGCTGCAGGCTTCTCAACGCCGACGCGCATGCGTGTATCGTCAACGAGCTCTTCCCGCTGGCGATGCTCATCACGCCCAACATCCCCGAAGCCTCGTTCCTCGTACGCCATCCTCCTCATCGATTGCGAGGTCGAAATGACTGCTTCTAGCTCGGTGGTCGTTCGATTTCGACGGTGGATGACATGAAGACGGCTGCCGCGGACTTGCAAAAGCTTGGTCGATCCCGCTACGTGCTCGTCAAGGGCGGCCACCTCGACGACATGGCCAAAGTCGTCGACGTCCTCTTCGACGGCACCGAGTTCGTTTGCTTCGAGTCGCCTCGCATCGCGACCACCAATACCCACGGTAGCCGATGGTGGTGGTACCGAGAAGAAGAGAGTGCAATGGATGCTGGTAGGAACCGGGTGCACGCTCGCGTCAGCCATCGCCGCACACTACGCCAAGGCACTTTGACCCTTTCGTGTACCCAGCATTTGAGCGTAGATGCTTAGGTGCCCGACATCAAGTCGGCGGTGCTGCACGCCATCCGCTACGTCCACGCCATTTTGGTCAGCAGCCAAGATTGCCGCATTGGCCGCGGCGCTCAAGGCCCGATGCTGCATTGGCTCTGAGACACGCCATCCCCAGACGCCTTCGGCACCGGCGATCCGTTTTGATGTTTGATATCGGCGAGAAAGACCCGCCGAGATTGTAAAATCGAGTTAACAAAGACGGTACAACGTTGCTCTGTGTTCTTCCTCAACTAGGTTCTGATATATCGACGCTGGCATCTCGCCGCCTCGTCTCTTGACGACGACGCTTGAGTCGCGACCAGCCATTGAGCCGTTGCGCGCTTCTAGATCTCTCTCGGGCGCATCGATTGAAACGGAGTGCGTCTCGAGTCGTAGCTCGTCGATCAGGTCCGAGCCGCTCCTCCGTGGGACGCCGTCTTAGTAGCCTTTGGCATCCCAAGAGCGACCGTGCCGCAGACCCTCTTCTTGTCCAATGGCTGCACGATGGGACCGCGTTTCTGTGCAAGATACCTCTTTTTGACACGACGACCACTCTGGGCGATCTTTGCCGCCATGGGATTGGTCGAGTGTTCGCGATTGAGAGATTGCGATTGGCTCGAATTAAAACGGCCGCCACCAGCCGGTCTTTTTTCGCAGCGTAGCGACCGTCCCACACTCGAATTTGCCATGCCCACTGCCGCCGCCAACCCTCGCCTCGACCGACGCAGCGGTGTCGCTCGTCCACACACCCTTCCTCGGTAGCTCTTTGCTCGCAGCATGCCACGTAGACGACGCTGGGCGTAGAGGAAACGCTGCCATGGCAGCATGCTTCGTTTGCGGTCATCAACTTTAGCGTCGCAGAGGCGGCCGAGACAGCGCCGCTCTTCAACGTACATGCTCTATAGAGAGGTATGCGTACATACCTGTTCTCTTAGGTGGGCTGCGCGGCGTGCGGCACGTCCATGGCGTCGGTACTGGCATGCGCCAAGGGCGCGCTACGGCTCGACTTGCCGAGCCACTTTCTTACACTATCATCGTTCTTGTACCGGCTGCAGATACAAACGTTCGGAGACGCGCCGTGGGCCAAACTGCGCATGATCCAGCGCATCTACTTCGCCAAGGACGACATCTTTGTCCACGATGCGCGCTTCCTTGGCCCTGCCAAGGTGGACAACGACGGTGTCTTGGCGTGGGATATCGCGTGGCCGACCAATCCGTTCAAGGCGCGCATCGATCGCGGCGGCTTTCGGCAGCGCGACGAGCCGGTCCGGAGCGACATCTTCTTCTTCGTGAACGACCGGTTCCTTGCACACCACCGAACGCTCTTCCGCTTCATCTCGCCGCGGGTCGCTAACGCCATCTTGCTGCAGCGCGTCGAAGACAATGCGCCGCTCGACTCGGTGCGGCGTGCGCTCCACCAAGCGGCCTTCAACTTACGCCCACCGTGCGTTCCGGTGCGAGTCCTTTTGCTGTGTCGTGCTAACAGGATGTTAGGATGCGCCGCAGCTGCTGCACACGGCGGCCAACCACCGCGCCTGTTCGACGCTGCAGCTGCTGCTCGCCCACGGCGCCGACATCAACAGCATCGACTTGGTACTTGAGCGCTTGCATCCCACAGCTAAGGAGGGCTAGGCCAACCACACGGTGCTGCACCACGCCGTGCAGAAGAACGACTTTGACATGGCGTGGTTCTTCCTCGAGCAAGGCGCGCGCGTCGATGGCGCCGTCAACGTACGTTTCCGAGCAGCTAGGAAAGAGGAAGAGAACGGAAAAGAATGACGTAGACCACCGCGCTGACGCCGTTGCAGGTGGCCATCATGGGCGGCAACATGCGCATGGTCGAGCTGCTGCTGGAAGCTGGTGCCACGATCGGTCCAGCGTGTGCGCTTCGTCTTGAAACCCCGTGCGATGTGCTGCATTGCGTACGCTGTCATGTCGTCGGCGGTGCGCTGAGAGAAGACGATGATGTAGGACCACGCCACCGCGCTGCAGTGGGCATATGTGTGGCGGCAGCCCGAGATTGCGTCGCTGCTCTTGCGCAAGGGCGCCGACGTCAACGACAACCGCGGAGCAGTACGTGCTTGAGTCCCATGATCTGGACATAATGATGGATGTTAGTATCCGCAGCACAGTATTCTGGCCAACTGCATCATGTCCCTCCAAGGCGACGAGCGCATGGCGCACGTCTCGGCGCTCTTGGAGCACGGCGCAGCGGCCAGCATCCACCGGCCCAACAAGGTTGCGCGAGGTCTGTTGTCATACGTCGTCTAGAGAGCCGCGTAGATGGGTCTCTCGGCCATGCATTTTGTGGTCCAGCACCAGCTGTACGCGATCGCAGAGCTCCTTGTGCACTACCAGTCGAGGGCCAACCTCCTCGTACCCGACTCGATGCTAGTCATGAAGCGTTTATCGTGAAGTAGATGCTGGACGAAGCGAGGCTCGTCGCGATCGCCGTGACGCATCGGGATCGACGCATGCTCTCGATTTTAGGTCACGGGCACTCGCGTGTACTGCCACCCGATGACGCCATGGCGGAGGAGGCGACCTACGATGCGCTTGGCGATCACGTGGCGCTGACAAGGGACATGGCCATGCACTTTGAAGCGAAATGACGACGCGAGCAACCAG